ATATATATTAATTGACCTTAGTAAGTATCGAGTCGACCTCTCGTCTCTACTTCTTCGAGATTAGACGGGATACTTACTGGGTATATATTGTTTATGTACTCATGCTACACTTCTGTACTTAAATGTACAGGATTTGAGGCAGGTGGATCCAGACATCACTCTGGTGCATATAAGTGAGTGCATCTGGGACTTCTACGGTGAGCTGCACTCCCTTCTTGCCGATCCGCAGCCGACGAAGTCTTCCTTGTATTTTTTTGTTGTTGTTTCTGTCTATCCTGATTCAGACAGTAGGATGGGTCATTATTCATTTTGTGTATATTCTACTAGTTGCCCGTAGCTTGTGACACCAGGTTCTGGCACACACAGTAGTAGACGTTATTTTTGGGTTGTGTAACCGTCGTTACATTTTATTGATCTTTACTGGTTTATGACTTTAATTTGGGGAAAAATCTATTATAATGGTTTTTGGTAAGGGTAAAATGAGAATTTAATTATACTTCCGCGTTGGCTGGCCTGACAAATGGTGTCGGGCGCCATCATGGCCTAGTATGGAAAATGGGTCGTGATATATATATATATATATATATATATATATATATATATATATATATATATAACTTTGTTCTCATAAGAAATAGTTTAGCTATTAAGTGGAGGCGCTCAATAAATCATTTTGCTAAACCAACTGTGATGAAACCAATTATCAAGATAAACTGTCTTGAATAGAAAATATGAAAATTATGCTCGAAATTAAATTACTGAGCAAGTTACCTCGCAAACACCGGCAAGGTTGCGGGTTAATAATAATCGCACATGTAACCATCTCATAGATGCATCTTATGTGGTATACATGGCTGGTGAATGAGCCCATATTCACTTTTGATATTTCCAGCATTCATGGGATTCAATACTAATTTTAGTTAGTCTACTAACTAATAAGAACAAACAATGTAAGAGAATTCGTAAAGAACTTTCTAGTTCTTTTATTATTTACCCATGTGAATTCTCTTTCATTTTTGCACATCATACTTAAAGTAACATGGCTAAATCAATTATGCCAACTGGATAAATTATCAATATTAATAAACTTCAGGTTTACACCATGACGTGTGCAATTATCAATAAACTTCAAGTTTATTATTATATGAGTTTTTATATCAATAAACTTTTACTTTATTGTGGTATTCTTTTATTTATGTAGTACACATTGGAGAATAAAATTGGGTAGCTTTTCACATACATATTACCCCGCTACAAGTTCTAGTAATAGAAAATATTAAATCTTTCCTTTATTTATAGTCTCAATATAATCAACTACTTTCGTGTATACTTTGGAAACTGAATAAGTTTCTTTGAGACTTACTACAACATAATACCTTATTGGTAATCAATTGTGTTTCTCCAAAATGGTATAATTGGCTCTTGCAGAGTTCTCCATTAATTTATAGTACCACATATTCATGAACATCCATATGGTAAATATCTCTTTTAAGGAGAAAGTTATACCATTATTGTCATGGTCAAAATTATAAGCAAGATCTGTTTCTTGCATTACCGTTGTCTTTTAATAATCACATTGCCAAAATATTTTGGCTCTACAATAGGTACGTGACCAATGACCATTCATGCCATAATAATGAAATTATTTTCTTATTTCATCTCAAACCTCCTCTTAGAGGTGAATGCGGTATATTTACTACCACTAGCACGTTCATATTCTTAAAAAATTAAATAAGTATTCATAAATCACATGTTGTCACATTCGCATCATGAATGGACCATAATCATCTATATGTGCTTTACAAAATCTCGTGTCAAATCGATGACAAACATTACTTTCACAGAGTGAAGGGTTAATTTGAGAATCCTTATTATTCTCAATACCACAATAATGACGATTATAATTTCATCTATTGCCACGTCCACATCCATTGATACCTTCACGGTAATAGTTTTGTCTTCTTTCAGACTTATTATATATTGCTACCACATTCTCTTAAGGGAATGAGAATGAAATAAATTCAATGGGACGGGTTTCCACTTCTTTGCCCACAATCATACATGAATTTCATCATGGCAAAACATAGAAATTTTACCACTTTGGGTGGTTATAATTTCTTGCAAACTCTATTAGAGTTATAATCAAAGTTTATTGTCTTTGCTTGTATTTACAATCAAATTATAGAATTTTAAAAATTTGAAAGAGAAAAATAAAGTAAAATACGTACCTTAAATCCAAAATTTAATCCTGAAGGAAATTCATGAAAAAATTGACAATCATTATGCTCAGTGTTATGTACAAGTTGAACACTATGCACGTATCCCAAAGCTTCTACTCAATTAGTTAGAGTCTTGTGCTGATATCGTGTGTTATGAAATAATAAAAGAAGAAGAAGAAGAGTATTGCAGAGAAAAGTAGGGAGATGGAGAGAATTCTTATTGATTTGGAGTCTTAATTACAATGGAATATGACCCCTCTATTTATAGGGAAAAAGTGACTTAGCCACTAAGTAAAATCCCTAAAATTTTTCTAAAATATAGACATTCACCTTAAATAGAATTCTATTTATAATAGTTATCTCTTTTTTCTTAAGTTATGTGATCATGTCGTGTGTCACTTAGTTCTTATTGATTAAAAAAAAAGGGTAATGCTAACAGATTTATTGGCTGAATGGGCACTCTTACCCAACAGACTAGAATATATTTTTACCGAGCTTAATCAAAATTTTTGGGGAGGTCTAAAGAGGGTGATGACGCTGCTCAAGGTCTAGGGGTAGCTGAACCTAATATCAGAGGCGGATTCAAAATTTATACTCTATGGATTTATTTTTTTTTTAAGGTTTTTAACATTGAATCTATCGTACTTTTAAAGTTATGGGTTCATATTTATTATTTTTACAATTTTAATGAATTTTTACATATAAAATTTTGCTTTGTGTCAAAATTTGTGGGTTCAATTGAAACCGTTATTAATACAGTACTAGATATGCTCCTGCCTAATATGAGCTATGTTACGTGCCTTCAGCTAAGAAAAAGGCAATCAATTAGCAAATATTATAAATATAAACAATAATAACAACAACAACAATAGCACACCCAGTGTAATCTCACAAATAGGGTCTGGGGAGGGTAGTGTGTACCTAGATCTTATCCCTACCTTGTAAAGATAGAGAGGCTGTTTCCGTTAGACCCTCGGCTCAAAGAACAGTGACAAGGAAACAACCAACCATACAATAATCAGAAAAGAAAGAAAACAAGGACACACCGCACACGTATACTAACAAATATCTAGAAATAAGAAAATATTACTAATACTATAAGTAAAAAGAAACAACGTATAATAAAAAGGTCTAGAAACAGGAAAAAATATCTTATAAATATATCATTTTAAATTTTTGACAAATTTCGTTGGTATCAAATATCAATGACAACTTGACGAGTATCTAACATTTTCCTTTTTCACTAACTTTTTTTTAGAGGACGCAACAATTTGTATCCATAAGATTGCATGTGCAATTAGAGCATATGGTCACTTTCATTTTCAAGGGGAAGACACGGCTGTGCCAAATCTAGGAATATAATTCTTCTAAAAAAAAATTCTTTGATGAGTCAAATAAAATTTAAGATATGTGGTGTTCGTTTTCTCTACCACTAGTCCTTGCTCCTTTGTAAGAATCTGAAGTCGCTGTTAGATGTTGCAGGGAAACTTCGATTACGGGGGTTACTTATCATTTACGACTTATTAAACATTCACCTGAAACACCTGATTTTAGTTTTAAAAATTACTTGCAATTGTACATTTTTCAAAAAGGGAGAGGATGATGTAATTTGTCTTAACAAAAGGGTTACTTGTTTTGTGGGTAAGTGTGACAACTTAAGCTCGTGAATGTATGTCTCGTGTCATGTATCAGTTAATCTGATATAAGAAGATGCATGAATTGGGAACATTTTGCCTGGGCGCTGCATCATCAAAAGGATGCAGGTGGTTCCATAACAGGTGGTGTTGATCAGCAATAGTCGTGCATCCTCTTCCTAGCAGACAGGGGTGATCTGACAAATTTTGTGGTCTAAAGCGAAACTTTACGAGGGGCCTTAATTTTTTAATTTTTTTTATTATTTATTTGAAATCTATTTTTTTAGCTTTTCTTAGATACAAAATTATTAATAATTTTGTTATAATCAATAACTCCTAATAAGTATTTCTCAATTGACAATATAGCTAATCCATTTAGCCTTTCTTATGACATTGTTGTTCTTAGGTAAGATTTTCTCAATTTTAATTTTGAAAACTTCTTTTTGCTGAAGCAACGGTAATATGAGTTATGAACATTATTCCATAAGCAATTTAGGTATTTGGAAAAGAGTTGAATCTTTTTATTTGATTACGTGTATCAATTAAATTGTTATGTTCTAATTGTACTATTTTTCTTAATACTTTTAATTCAGAAAATAAATTTAAACCATCAATATCGAATTGATTATTATGCTTTAAGGAACATTCAAGATTAAGACAATATTTTTTCAAATTTCTAATATCTACTGATCTTAGTTTTTACTGCCAAATTGAAAATCAAAATATTTTCATATGCTTCGAATTGTTCAAATCTATTTTGAAGTGAAAAAATAGCCTTGTCTATTATGTATAAAAGTAATCAACTCTAACGGACTATTCGAAATATTTTGAGATTTCATTATCAACATTCATATGAAATTGTTACTTCCTATATATCACACATTTCTTACGAAATTCGGGTTCGATATTCATTTCAAGTGCAATTTCCTTAGTAGAAATCATAGTAGTTGCAAATTCTTCTTCTCTATATTTGTTAAAGAAAGAAATAAACTTTACAGAACTCTTTTTTAAACTTATACATAATCTATTAGGTGTAACAAAAAATAGGGCCCCCACAAATATGGGGCCTAAAGCGGTTGCTTTACTTGCTTTATGGAAGGGCCGACCCTGCCAGCAGACTTGGTGAGCCCCACTTCATCCCGGGGTCATGTATCTTTTGTTTATTTTCTTATCATGTTTTGAGGTATAACCGGAGCCTTTTTGCTGGCATTTTCATATTACTCTTCGGTCGTCGTTAGAGGCTTCGTAGACAGTTGTGAGTGGTGGTTGATGTTAGGAGTCAAAACTAGAAATATTGGTAATTGACAAACATATTTTTCATTATACCTATAAACCTGTAATATTTTAGAAATTATGAATGAATCTGTTAATGGAAATGAAACGGATGTTGCTAATAAAATCTTATTAGGGTTTGATAAATGGAATACGTGTGACGACCCAAAGGGTCATCACCTGTTTTCTCTTTCATTTCGTGCTTCCGAGGCTTTGAAAACCTCACTTTTACTTGCCTCGATTTGCGTGCACAGTCCGGGCGCGTAGCCGGAAAGCTTAAATATGAATTCTGTGTAAAAATTGATGAATTTTAATATTAATATGATTAAAGTTGACTTTGGTCAATATTTTGGGTAAACGGACCCGGACCTGTGATTTGACGGTCCCGGAGGGTCCGTAGAAAAATATGGGACTTGGGCGTATGCCCGAAATTGAATTCCGAGGTCCCAAGCCCGAGAAATGAATTTTTGTGTGAAATTGCTTTCTGAAATTAATTAAGGAAAATGGAAAGGAAATTTGATCAGAAGACTATGGTATCGGGCTCGTATTTTGGTTCCGATGCCCGGTACAAGTCTTATATGTGATTTAAGCGCTTTCTGTAAAGTTTGGTTGAAAACGGACGTCATTTGACGTGTTTCGGACTTGAAATGGAAAATTTCTGTTTTATGAAAAGTTGGAAGAAATCATGTGATTTGAGGCTTGATTCTATGTATATGATGTTATTTTGGCGATTTGATCGCTCGAGTAAGTCCGTAAGATGTTTTTGAGGTTGTGTGTATGTTTGGTTAGGAGCCCCGAGGGCTCGGGAGAGTTTTGGATAGGCCGCGATTGCATTTGAACCTTTGGAAAACCAGCTGATGCACTTCAGACCTGCAGGCTTTGCATTTGCGATGCCTGGTTCGCAAAAGCGGTACTCGCAAATGCGAAAGGCCCATCGCAAAAGCGAAGAATGGCCCAGGTCTGACAGTCTCGCAATTGCGATATTTTCCTTCGCAAATGCGAAGTGTTCCTGTCCGCAAAAGCGACGCCTGAGGTCGCAAATGCGAGAACTGGGGAAAATGGGGGAGTTCGCAAATGCGAACAATTCCTTCGCAATTCCCAAGCCTGCTGGGTTCGCAATTGCGAACCCAGTTTCGCAATTCCCATATCTGAGGCCTGCATTTTTCATACTTAGACGAATTTTCAACCCATTTCTTCATTCTTTCAAACTCAAACACTCCATAGGTGATTTTCCAAGAAAACTTTCCTCCCCAAATCATTTGTAAGTCAATTTTTACTTAATCCCTTCAATCATTTGTATTTTGATTTTTCATCTTAAGATCAAGGATTTTCATGGGTGAAAATGGGGATTTTGGGTAGAACCTAGGTTTTCTTCAAATTGGGGAGTTGGACCTCAATTTGAGGTCCGATTTCAAAACAAATCATAGATATGAACTCGTGGGGGAATGGGTAATCGGGTTTTGGTTCGAACCTCGGGTTTTGACCACGTGGGCCCGGGGGCGTTTTGGGAAATTTTGGGTAAAACTTTGGGAAATTCATTTTCATGCATCCATATTGATTCAATTAGCATTTGTTGATACATTCAAGTAATTTGTGACTAGATTCGAGCGGTTTGATGGTGAATTCGAGGGGTAAATCTATACTAGGGGCTTGAGTCGAGTTTGGAGCATTTGAGGTAAGTGTTTGGTCTAACTTTGGCTTGAGGGAATAGGAGTAGAGTCTTATTTGCTAATTGCTACTTGTCGAGTATGGTGTATAGGCATGGTGACGAGTATCTATACATTGGTGTCAAGCATGACCGTGAGTCCTAAATTGCTAAATTATCAAATTCTTAATTGTTGTTTATGAGGGCTTGGTTAAAAATCTTTAACACTGAGCCAGTAACTGTTGAGACAGAGTAGTGATTTAATTGTGTTAAGTAGAAATTGAATAAGTTTGGTTATAGCTGGATCTCCCTTGCCGGAATAGTTTATTATATTATCTTGTTCCCTTGTCGGGATAGTTTATTATAATATCTTTCTCCCTTACCAGGATTATATTGTGTGTTGTGTTGAAAGAAATGGGATCGAGTGGTACGCCTACCACGTGATATTATGAAATAGGATCGAGTGGTACGCTACCACGTGATATTATGAAATGGGATCGAGTGGTATGCCTACCACGTGATATTATAAAATGGGATCGAGTGGTACGCTACCACGTGATATTATGAAATGGGATCGAGTGGTAAGCCTACCACGTGATATTATGAAATGGGATCAAGTGGTACGCCTACCACGTGATATGAGGAAATGGGATCGTGTTGCACGCTTGCAACGAGAGGAAATTGAAACAAGTGAAAGTGGTTTGTTTTCCCTTATTTTGTGTTAGAAGAAATCAGATGTAGTTTCTTTTGTTATCCCTGATATTCTGATTTATCTACTACCCCTTAAGCATGTTTCCCCCTCCCAGCTTTAATTGTTTATTTTCCGCTATTATTTTGTTGTACTTGTATATATATAACTGCACAAGTTTATCTGGTAGTCTGGTCTAGCCTCGTCACTACTTCGTCGGGGTTAGGCTAGGCACTTACCAGCACATGGGTCGGTTGTGCTGATGCTACACTCTGTGCATCTTTTTGCACAGATCACAGTACCGGAGCAGTAGCTTTTGCACAGCAGTAGGAGCATTTGGGAGCTGACTTCAGTCCAGAGATCCCGAGGTAGCCTTGCTGACGTCCGCATGGCCCGGAGTTAGGAAAATTTCACTTTTGTTCTTTCTTATCGTGCGATTCTGTTTCTCAAATACTGCTTGTCTTTCTACTCTGTTCTTTCGCAGATGGCGAGAACATGTGCTTCATCTTTGACTGCGCAGCAGTCCGAGCCCCCAACAGCAGCCCCTGCGAGGGGCAGAGGGCGAGGCCGAGGCCGTGCCAGAGGCCGAGGCAGGGGCAGAGCTCAGCCCCGAGCAGCAGTCCCAGAGGTGGAGCCTCATGTTGATTATGATGAGGAGGTTCCAGCCCCAGCAGCTCCGCTGGGCCCAGCTCAGGTCCCAGAGGGGTTCATAGCCACCCCAGTTCTTCAGGATGCTTTGGTCATATTGGTAGGCTTTGTGGAGAGCGTCATTCGAGTGGGTTTGCTTCCAGGAGTTCAGCCAATGGTGGCAGGTCAGCCGGGTACAGTGGCTCAGGCCGGGAGTGAGATCACTTTTCAGGAGGCGGCCAATATGGGCCGTAGAGTTGAGAGGGTTCTGCCATAGGGAGGTGGTCATGGGTTGGGTAAGAGGCCCCGTCATGCAGGCAGATTCAGTGGTGCCTCGTCTGGAGGTAGAGGTTCTTATGGTAGAGGCCATCCTCCTAGGCCCTTTCAGTCAGCTCTCCAGGTCACTCATAGTACTTCAGGTGGTCATTCAGGTCGACAGGGTCAGCCTCAGTTTCCTCAGCTGCAGCGTTAGTGTAGATGTTATGAGTGTGGTGAGTATGGTCACAACAGGAGGGTTTGCCCGAGGTTGAGGGGTGCTCACCCGCAGCAGACGAGGTCTTGCCATGCTTGTGGTGACATGAGGCACATTGTCAGATATTGCCCTCTAGTTTATGGCAGCTCTCCGCATCAGAGTTCTCGTGCTATGGTTCAGGCACCAGAGGTTCCACAGCCCGCCCAGCCAGCTAGGGGTGGTGGCAGAGGTGTTAGAGGTGGAGGTAGAAGTCATAGAGGTGGAGTTCAGGCCGCCAGAGGTAGAGGCCAGCCAGCAGCCAGGCCAGAGGCTGAGTCTTCAGGTGCAGACATTACAGGTACTATTCTGATTTGTGATAGAGATGCCTCAGTGCTATTTGACCCTGGGTCTACGTATTCGTATGTGTCGTCCTATTTTGCACACTACCTGGTTATGCCTAGTGATGCTTTGGGTATTCCTGTTTATGTATCTACACCGGTGGGTGATTCTATAGTGGTCGACCGAGTTCATCGTTCCTGTGTGGTAGTGTTTGAGGGTCTTGAGACCCGTATTGATTTATCGCTCTTAGACATGGTGGATTTTGAAGTTATATTAGGGATGGATTGGTTGTCCCTGTATCATGCTATCTTAGATTATCACGCAAAGACCGTGACCTTGGCTTTGCCAGATTTGCCCCGTTTGGAGTGGAGAGGGACCCCAGGGCATACCACCCGCAGAGTTATTTCATATGTAAAGGCTCGACGCATGGTCGAGAAGGGGTGTTTAGCTTATCTGGCGTATGTTCGCGATTCCAGCGCAGAGGTCCCTTCTATTGATTCTGTTCCTATTGTTCGGGAGTTCCCCGAGGTTTTCCCTTCAGACCTGCCGGGTATGCCGCCCGACAGGGATATTGATTTTTGTATTGATCTGGCTCCGGGCACTCAGCCCATTTCTATCCCGCCGTATCGCATGGCCCCGCCAGAGTTGAATGAGTTAAAAGACCAGCTGCAGGATTTGCTTGAGAAGGGTTTTATCAAACCTAGTGTTTCTCCTTGGGGTGCGCCGGTGCTATTTGTGAAGAAAAAGGATGGTTCGATGAGGATGTGCATTGATTACCGGCAACTGAACAAAGTGACGATAAAGAACAAGTATCCACTGCCGAGGGTTGACGATTTGTTCGACCAGCTTCAGGGTGCGAAGGTGTTTTCAAAGATAGACTTGAGATCTGGCTACCACCAGTTGAGGATTAGGGTGTCTGATGTCCCTAAGGCAGCATTCCGCACTCGGTACGGGCATTATGAGTTCCTGGTCATGTCGTTTGGGTTGACCAATGACCCAGCAATATTTATGGAATTGATGAACCGAGTGTTCAGGCCTTATTTGGACTTGTTCGTGATAGTCTTTATTGATGATATTCTGGTATACTCTCGAAGCCAGGAGGAGCACAGCAGCATCTCAGAGTGGTTCTTCAGACTCTGAAGGATAGTCAGCTATACGCTAAGTTTTCGAAGTGTGAGTTCTGGTTGAGTTCGGTTGCATTTCCGGGTCACGTTGTATCAGCAGAGGGTATTCAGGTGGACCCGAAGAAGATAGAGGCAGTCAAGAACTGGCCTCGACCAGCATCAGCTACATAGATTCGGAGTTTCTTGGGGTGAGCAGGCTACTATCGTCGGTTCGTGGAGGGGTTTTCATCTATCGCAGCCCCGATGACCAGGTTGACCCAGAAGGGTGCCCAGTTCAGATGGTCGGATGAGTGTGAGGCGAGCTTTCAGAAGTTCAAGACAGCTCTGACTACGGCACCGGTAGTGGTTTTGCCCACAGGTTCAGGGCCTTATACAGTCTATTGTGATGCTTCCCATATTGGGCTTGGTGCAGTATTGATGCAGGATGGAAAAGTCATTGCCTATGCTTCGAGGCAGTTGAAGATCCACGAGGAGAATTATCCGGTTCATGATCTAGAGTTGGCAGCCATTGTTCATGCGTTGAAGATTTGGAGGCATTACCTATATGGTGTGCCGTGTGAGGCGTACACCGATCATAAGAGTCTTCAGTATCTGTTCAAGCAGAAGGAGTTGAATTTGAGGCAGAGGAGGTGGTTGGAGTTATTGAAAGATTATGATGTTACTATTTTGTATCACCCGGGAAAGGCCAATGTGGTGGCCGATGCATTGAGTAGGAAGTTCGCCAGCATGGGTAGTCTTGCGTATATTCCGGTCAGACAGAGACCGCTTGCTTTGGATATTCAGGCCTTGGCCAATCGATTTGTGAGGTTGGACATTTCTGAGCCTAGCAGGGTGTTAGCTTGCACGGTTGCTTGTTCTTCTTTATTGGAGCGTATTCGTGATCGACAGTTTGATGATCCCCATTTGTGTGTCTTGAGAGACGCGGTGCAACGTGGAGGTGCCAAGAAGGTGACCTTAGATAGCGATGGTGTTTTGAGATTACAGGGGCAATTTTGTGTGCCCAATGTTGATGGAATTCGAGAGTTGATCTTAGCGGAGGCCCATAGTCCTCAGTATTCTATTCACCCGGGCGCCGCGAAGAGGTATCAGGATCTGAGGCAGCACTATTGGTGGCGTAGAATGAAGAAGGATATAGTTGCATATGTGGCTCGAGGTTTG